ACACCCACACACCCAATCTCACACACACTCACCCACTCACACTCACCCACCCACTCACCCACCCACGCTCCCACACTCACTCAACCACTCATTCATTCACCGACCTCTCTCCCCTCTCCCTCCCTCCCTCCAGAACCAGAGGTTGCATGGAACTTGTACTGTGGCAACCCAGATCTCCCGTGATGCCTCCCACTCACTCCCACACTCACCCACGGACACTCACCCACTCACACTCACCCAATCTCACACACTCTCACACTCACGCACTCACCCACTCACACTCACTCCCACACTCACTCCCACACTCACTCCCACACTCATTCCCACACTCACTCCCACACTCACTCCCACACTCACTCCCACACTCACTCCCACACTCACTCCCACACTCATTCCCACACTCACTCCCACACTCACTCCCACACTCACCCACTCCCACACTCACCCACTCCCACACTCACCCACTCACCCACCCACACTCCCACACTCACTCAACCACTCATTCATTCACCGACCCCTCTCCCCTCCCTCCCTCCCTCCAGAACCAGAGGTTGCATGGAACTTGTACTGTGGCAACCCAGATCTCCCGTGATGCCTCCCACTCACTCCCACACTCACCCACGGACACTCACCCACTCACACTCACCCAATCTCACACACTCTCACACTCACGCACTCACCCACTCACACTCACTCCCACACTCACTCCCACACTCACTCCCACACTCACTCCCACACTCACTCCCATACTCACTCCCACACTCACTCCCACACTCATTCCCACACTCACTCCCACACTCACTCCCACACTCACCCACTCCCACACTCACCCACTCCCACACTCACCCACTCACCCACCCACACTCCCACACTCACTCAACCACTCATTCATTCACCGACCTCTCTCCTCTCCCCTCCCTCCCTCCCTACCCAGAGGTTGCATGGAACTTGTACTGTGGCAACCCAGATCTCCCGTGATGCCTCCCACTCACTCCCACACTCACCCACGGACACTCACCCACGGACACTCACCCACTCACACTCACCCAATCTCACACACTCTCACACTCACCCACTCACACTCACTCCCACACACACTCTCACACTCACTCCCACCCTCACCCACTCACACCCACCCTCACCCACTCACACCCACACACCCAATCTCACACACACTCACCCACTCACACTCACCCACCCACTCACCCACCCACGCTCCCACACTCACTCAACCACTCATTCATTCACCGACCTCTCTCCCCTCTCCCCTCCTACCTCCAGAACCAGAGGTTGCATGGAACTTGTACTGTGGCAACCCAGATCTCCCGTGATGCCTCCCACTCACTCCCACACTCACCCACTCACACTCACCCACTCACACTCACCCAATCTCACACACTCTCACACTCACGCACTCACCCACTCACACTCACTCCCACACTCACTCCCACACTCACTCCCACACTCACTCCCACACTCACCCACTCCCACACTCACCCACTCACACACTCTCACCCACTCACCCACTCACGCTCCCACACTCACTCCCACACTCACTCCCACACTCACCCACTCACCCACTCACGCTCACCCACTCTCACACACTCACCCAATCTCACACACTCTCACGCTCGCCCACTCACGCTCACCCATTCACCCGCTCACGCTCCCACACTCACCCACTCCCACACTCACCCACTCCCACACTCACCCACTCACACTCACCCACTCACCCACCCACGCTCCCACACTCACTCAACCACTCATTCATTCACCGACCTCTCTCCCCTCTCCCTCCCTACCTCCAGAACCAGAGGTTGCATGGAACTTGTACTGTGGCAACCCAGATCTCCCGTGATGCCTCCCACTCACTCCCACACTCACCCACGGACACTCACCCACTCACACTCACCCAATCTCACACACTCTCACACTCTCACACTCACGCTCCCACACTCACTCCCACACTCACTCACTCACACTCACCCAATCTCACACACTCTCACACACTCACCCACACACTCACCCACCCACGCTCCCACACTCACTCAACCACTCATTCATTCACCGACCTCTCTCCCCTCTCCCCTCTCCCTCCCTACCTCCAGAACCAGAGGTTGCATGGAACTTGTACTGTGGCAACCCAGATCTCCCGTGATGCCTCCCACTCACTCCCACACTCACCCACGGACACTCACCCACTCACACTCACCCAATCTCACACACTCTCACACTCTCACACTCACACTCACTCCCACACTCACTCCCACACTCACTCCCACACTCACTCACTCCCACACTCACCCACTCACACTCACCCAATCCCACTCACACTCACCCACTCACCCACCCACGCTCCCACACTCACTCAACCACTCATTCATTCACCGACCTCTCTCCCCTCTCCCTCCCTCCCTCCAGAACCAGAGGTTGCATGGAGCTTGTACTGTGGCAACCCAGATCTCCCGTGATGCCTCCCACTCACTCCCACACTCACCCACGGACACTCACCCACGGACACTCACCCACTCACACTCACCCAATCTCACACACTCTCACACTCACCCACTCACACTCACTCCCACACACACTCCCACACTCACTCCCACACTCACTCCCACACTCACCCACTCCCACACTCACCCACTCACACTCACCCACTCACCCACTCAACCACCCACGCTCCCACACTCACTCAACCACTCATTCATTCACCGACCTCTCTCCCCTCCCTCCCTCCCTCCAGAACCAGAGGTTGCATGGAACTTGTACTGTGGCAACCCAGATCTCCCGTGATGCCTCCCACTCACTCCCACACTCACCCACGGACACTCACCCACTCACACTCACCCAATCTCACACACTCTCACGCTCACCCACTCACACTCACTCCCACACTCACTCCCACACTCACTCACTCCCACACTCACCCACTCACACTCACCCACTCACACTCACCCAATCTCACACACTCTCACACTCACGCACTCACCCACTCACTCCCACACTCACTCCCACACTCACTCACTCCCACACTCACCCACTCACACTCACCCACTCACACTCACCCAATCTCACACACACTCACACACTCACCCACCCACACTCCCACACTCACTCAACCACTCATTCATTCACCGACCTCTCTCCCCTCTCCCCTCTCCCTCTCCCTCCCTCCCTCCAGAACCAGAGGTTGCATGGAACTTGTACTGTGGCAACCCAGATCTCCCGTGATGCCTCCCACTCACTCCCACACTCACCCACGGACACTCACCCACTCACACTCACCCAATCTCACACACTCTCACACTCACTCCCACACTCACTCCCACACTCACTCCCCCACTCACTCCCACACTCACCCACGGACACTCACCCACTCACACTCACCCAATCTCACACACTCTCACACTCACTCCCACACTCACTCCCACACTCACTCCCCCACTCACTCCCACACTCACCCACGGACACTCACCCACTCACACTCACCCAATCTCACACACTCTCACGCTCACCCACTCACACTCACTCCCACACACACTCCCACACTCACTCCCACACTCACTCCCACACTCACTCCCACACTCACTCCCACACTCACTCCCACACTCACTCCCACACTCACCCACTCACACTCACCCACTCTCACACACTCACCCAATCTCACACACTCTCACCCACTCAACCACTCACGCTCCCACACTCACTCCCACACTCACCCACTCACACCCAATCTCACACACTCTCACTCCCACACTCACTCCCACACTCACTCCCACACTCACCCACTCCCACACTCACCCACTCCCACACTCACCCACTCACACTCACCCACTCACCCACCCACGCTCCCACACTCACTCAACCACTCATTCATTCACCGACCTCTCTCCCCTCTCCCCCCCTCAGAACCAGAGGTTGCATGGAACTTGTACTGTGGCAACCCAGATCTCCCGTGATGCCTCCCACTCACTCCCACACTCACCCACGGACACTCACCCACTCACACTCACCCAGTCTCACACACTCTCACACTCACTCCCACACTCACTCCCCCACTCACTCCCACACTCACCCACGGACACTCACCCACTCACACTCACCCAATCTCACACACTCTCACACTCACGCACTCACCCACTCACACTCACTCCCACACTCACTCCCACACTCACTCCCACACTCACCCACTCCCACACTCACCCACTCCCACACTCACCCACTCACACTCACCCACTCACCCACCCACGCTCCCACACTCACTCAACCACTCATTCATTCACCGACCTCTCTCCCCTCTCCCCTCTCCCTCCCTACCTCCAGAACCAGAGGTTGCATGGAACTTGTACTGTGGCAACCCAGATCTCCCGTGATGCCTCCCACTCACTCCCACACTCACCCACGGACACTCACCCACGGACACTCACCCAATCTCACACACTCTCACACTCTCACACTCACCCACTCACACTCACTCCCACACTCACTCCCACACTCACTCCCACACTCACCCACTCACACACTCACCCACTCACACTCACCCACTCACCCACCCACGCTCCCACACTCACTCAACCACTCATTCATTCACCGACCTCTCTCCCCTCTCCCTCTCCCTCCCTCCCTCACTCCCTCCCCTCTCCCTCCCTCCCTACCTCCAGAACCAGAGGTTGCATGGAACTTGTACTGTGGCAACCCAGATCTCCCGTGATGCCTCCCACTCACTCCCACACTCACCCACGGACACTCACCCACTCCCACACTCACCCACTCACACTCACCCACTCACACTCACCCAATCTCACACACTCTCACACTCACGCACTCACCCACTCACACTCACTCCTACACTCACTCCCACACTCACCCACTCCCACACTCACCCAATCTCTCACACTCACACACACTCACCCACTCAACCACCCACGCTCCCACACTCACTCAACCACTCATTCATTCACCGACCTCTCTCCCCTCTCCCCTCTCCCTCCCTCCAGAACCAGAGGTTGCATGGAACTTGTACTGTGGCAACCCAGATCTCCCGTGATGCCTCCCGTCGCCCCGTCGCCGCCGACGCCGGCATCGGCATCGGCATCGGCACAAAGGACGTCGCTAAAAAGGAACTCGAGGCACCTCTTGCCATCGCCATCGTTGCCGTCGGCGTCGGCGGTGCCGCTCACGCTCGACCACATGGACGCTGATGATGGTGGCGATTGTGTTGGCTGCTTGGGTGACGTTGATGTCGCTGACGTCGCCGACGGCGACGACGCCGACGAGGTTGTCGCGATGGAGTTATAGATCGTGGGCCGTCGGTGTCGTCGGATGATGAAGAGGGCCACAGGCTCGGCACGCGGAGACCCACAGACTCACTCACACAGAGACCCACAGACTCACTCACACAGAGACCCACAGACTCACTCACACAGAGATACACAGACTCACTCACGCAGAGACCCACAGACTCACTCACACAGAGACCCATCACACAGAGACCCATAGACTCACCACACAGAGACCCGCAGACTCACTCACACAGAGACCCATCACACAGAGACCCATAGACTCATCACACAGAGACCCACAGACTCACTCACACAGAGACCCATCACACAGAGACCCACAGACTCACTCACACAGAGACCCACAGACTCACTCACACAGAGACCCACAGACTCACAACACAGAGACCCACAGACTCACACAGAGACCCACAGACTCACGACACAGAGATGCACAGACTCACTCACACAGAGACCCACAGACTCACCACACAGAGACCCACAGATTTACTCACACAGAGACCCACAGACTCACTCACACAGAGACCCACAGACTCACTCACACAGAGACTCACTCACACAGAGACCCACAGACTCACCACACAGAGACCCATAGACTCACTCACACAGAGACCCACAGACTCACCACACAGAGACCCACAGACTCACTCACACAGAGACCCACAGACTCACTCACACAGAGACCCACAGACTCGCTCACACAGAGACCCATAGACTCACTCACACAGAGACCCACACACTCACTCACACAGAGACTCACAGACTCACTCACACAGAGGCTCACAGATTCACTCACACAGAGACCCACAGACTCACGACACAGAGACCCACAGACTCACACAGAGACCCACCACACAGAGACCCATAGACTCATCACACAGAGACCCGCAGACTCACCACCCACACAGAGACCCACAGACTCATCACACAGAGACCCATCACACAGAGACCCACAGACTCACTCACACAGAGACCCACAGACTCACTCACACAGAGACTCACAGACTCACTCACACAGAGACCCACAGACTCACCACACAGACACCCACAGACTCACTCACACAGAGACCCACAGACTCACAACACAGAGACCCACAGACTCACCACTCACACAGAGACCCACAGACTCACCACACAGAGACCCACAGACTCACTCACACAGAGACCCACAGACTAACCACACAGAGACCCACAGACTCACTCGCACAGAGACCTACAGACTCACTCACACAAAGACCTACAGACTCACTCACACAGAGACCCACAGACTCACTCATACAGAGACCCACAGATTCACCACACAGACACCCATAGACTCACTCACACAGAGACCCACAGACTCACTCACACAGAGACCCATAGACTCACTCACACAGAGACCCACAGACTCACACAGAGACCCACAGACTCACTCACAAAGAGACCCACAGACTCACACACAGACCCACAGACTCACACACACACAGACCCACAGACTCACACACACAGAGACCCACAGACTCACCACACAGAGACCCACAGATTCACTCACACAGAGACCCACAGACTCACTCACAAAGAGACCCACAGACTCACACAGAGACCCACAGACGCACACACACACAGACCCACAGACTCACACACACAGAGACCCACAGACTCACACACACAGAGACCCACAGACTTGCTCACACAGAGACCCACAGACTCACACAGAGACCCACAGACTCACCACACAGAGACCCACAGATTCACTCACACAGAGACCCACAGACTCACCACACAGAGACCCACAGATTCACTCACACAGAGACCCACAGACTCACTACACAGAGACCCACAGACTCACTACACAGAGACCCACAGACTCACTCACACAGAGACCCACAGACTCACTCACACAGAGACCCACAGACTCACACAGAGACCCACAGACTCACTCACACAGAGACCCACAGACTCACTACACAGAGACCCACAGACTCGTCACACACAGACCCACAGACTCACTCACGCAGAGACCCACAGACTCACACAGAGACCCACAGACTCACACAGAGACCCACAGACTCACTCACACAGCGATCCCCTGACTAAGCATATTGTGCTGTACGTTTTTTTTAATTAACGTTAAATTTCGTACAAAATCGCGCGTTCCCAGCCGTGTTTTTATTAAAAGTCTGCACGGTGACCCCCAGTGGCAGCTGTCTCTGTGTGTGAGTCTGTAACCTAGGAGGCACCCCCAGTGGCAGCTGTCTGTGTGAGTGTCTGTAGCCTAGGGGACACCCCCAGTGACAGCTGTCTCTGTGTGTGAGTCTGTAGCCTAGGGGACACCCCCAGTGGCAGCTGTCTCTGTGTGTGTCTGTAGCCTAGGAGACACCCCCAGTGACAGCTGTCTCTGTGTGTGAGTCTATAGCCTAGGGGACACCCCCAGTGACAGCTGTCTCTGTGTGTGAGTCTGTAGCCTAGGGGACACCCCCAGTGACAGCTGTCTCTGTGTGAGTGTCTGTAGCCTAGGGGACACCCCCAGTGACAGCTGTCTCTGTGTGTGTCTGTAGCCTAGGGGACACCCCCAGTGACAGCTGTCTCTGTTTTTCTGTAGCCTAGGGGACACCCCCAGTGACAGCTATCTCTGTGTGTGTCTGTAGCCTAGGGGACACCCCCAGTGACAGCTGTCTCTTTGTGTGTCTGTAGCCTAGGAGACACCCCCAGTGACAGCTATCCCTGTGTGTCTGTAGCCTAGGGGACACCCCCAGTGACAGCTATCTCTGTGTGTGTCTGTAGCCTAGGGGACACCCCCAGTGACAGCTGTCTCTGTGTGGGGCTGTAGCCTAGGGGACACCCCCAGTGACAGCTGTCTCTGTGTGAGTCTGCAGCCTAGGGGACACCCCCAGTGACAGCTGTCTCTGTGTGTGGGTCTGTAGCCTAGGGGACACCCCCAGTGACAGCTGTCTCTGTGTGTGAGTGTCTGTAGCCTAGGGGACACCCCCAGTGACAGCTGTCTCTGTGTGTGAGTGTCTAGCCTAGGGGACACCCCCAGTGACAGCTGTCTCTATGTGAGTCTGTAGCCTAGGGGACACCCCCAGTGACAGCTGTCTCTGTGTGAGTCTGTAGCCTAGGGGACACCCCCAGTGACAGCCGTCTCTGTGTGGGTTTGTAGAATGAGGGGGGGGGGGGCAGCCCTGGTCGCAGCTCCTGCACACCAGGCGAGGTAGTCAACATCTCACCACGTGGAGAGAGAGACTCGGACTCCATCACAATCACGACCTCCTGCGTACCAGGCGAGGTAGTCAACATCTCACCACGTGGAGAGAGAGACTCAGACTCCATCACAGTCACGACCTCCTGCACACCAGGCGAGGTAGTCAACATCTCACCACGTGGAGAGAGAGAGACGCAGACTCCATCACAATCACGACCTCCTGCGTACCAGGCGAGGTAGTCAACATCTCACCACGTGGAGAGAGAGAGAGACTCAGATTCCATCACAACCACGACCTCCTGTGTACCAGGTGAGGTAGTCAACATCTCACCACGTGGAGAGAGACGCAGACTCCATCACAATCCCGACCTCCTGTGTACCAGGCGAGGTAGTCAACATCTCACCACGTGGAGAGAGAGAGACTCAGATTCCATCACAACCACGACCTCCTGTGTACCAGGCGAGGTAGTCAACATCTCACCACGTGGAGAGACGCAGACTCCAACACAATCACGACCTCCTGTGTACCAGGCGAGGTAGTCAACATCTCACCACGTGGAGAGAAAGAGAGAGACGCAGACACCATCACAACCACGACCTCCTGTGTACCAGGCGAGGTAGTCAACATCTCACCACGTGGAGAGAGAGAGACTCAGATTCCATCACAACCACGACCTCCTGTGTACC